GGTGGTGGAAGGGGCTGGGCCGGGGGTGGGGGAAAAGAGCGCCTGCACTTGCTACCCGAACTTGGAGCATCCTTGACCTCTGCGTGCTGTTGGAGCGAGAGCAAGGCACTTGCCTCCCTGAGCCCGTGTCCCTTCTGTCAGAATAAGGGTCGGAATGCCTGGGCTGGCGCACCTGTACAGCACCCAGCGCGCAGTGGGTCTCAGTACGTTCCTTTCTTCTCCACCCACTTCTCTCTGCTGCAGTCGCTTCTACCGCTGCCCCTCTCCTGGACCTCAGCATGGCCCTGTCGGCCGGCGGCCGCGGATCCGCACCTGGCTTCTGGCTCTGCACCTCATTTCCCCAGCGCAGGAAGAGAGTTGCTTTTCTCCTTTTTCCGTGGGATTTCCCTTTTTGCCTCCTGGAAACAAGGCCAGAGGGACCAGAGCGTGCCTTTGCTCCTTGCTCAACACCTGTTTATCCAATACCCGCTGTGTGTCAGGCGCTGTGCTAAGCACGGACTTGGCTATGGTGACTAAAACCGATGTGAGATGAAGAGCTTATAGTTTTGTGGGAGATGCAGACAGGAGGCAAGTTAATGGCATAAATAAATCAGCCCATTGCAGTACACACTTCCTACCCCTTTTCCTTTGACGTTTTTCTATGTAGCTTTTACCACTATGGGACCATACGTTTTCCACTTCCCTCTTGGTTAATGACTGTCTCCCCCACTAGGACGTCAGCTCACGAGTGCAGGAAGTTCTGTTTCTTCAGTGCTGTATTTCTTGCACCTAGAACAGTGCCTGGCATGTAGTAAATACATGTTTGATGAATGATTACATAATAGAAACAGACATGGTGCTTGATAGAGAATGAAATCAGTTAGTTCGAAGAGGGCCTCTGAGAGGAGGTGGTCTTTAAATCAACGTGGATAGGTGCGGAGAGGCATCCAGGCAGGTGCCTCTTAGACTGAAAGGTGCCTCTGCGACTGAAAAGATAGAGGCTGAGAGGAGACATGAACCCGTTCTTAGACGTTCAGAACTGACAGGTCAACTTCTATACCAATTTCCCAAACAGCAGACAAAGTGAGTTTTAATAGAACGATTTAATTTTATGTATTATCATTATTATTAATTTACTTATTTTTAATTTTGATCAGAGAGAGAGAGAAGGAATGTGAGTAAGCAAACCACCAGGTCCAAGGCTTGAACCATGGTTAACCATGTGGGAATCCAGTGCCTAAACCACCATGCCACCTGCCAGCCCCCAAAGTGGGATTATTAAAACACAGAGAAGATATCCTTAAGGCAGAGACTAACCTTTGCAGTTTATAGTTAACAAAGCTCTTTTGCTCATCTCACTTTAGCCTGCAAAAGACTGCAGGAACTAAGAAATTGGCACGGAGACAGGCCCAGACCTCACTCCCTAGTAATACACAGCACTTGGGTCGCATGGAATACAGATGGATTTGGACTGATGTGACATCACGCTAGGCTGCTAGGCGCTGTGACTGTAGGGACTTTGTCCTGTTTACCTCTGTTGCATCGCAGCTCCTAGCACTGTGCCTGGCTCCCAGGCCACATTTGTAAACTAAATGAGGACTCTCCAGTCACTAGGAGCCTGCCATATGCCAGGCTGTGTTTAGCAGTAGATATGGAAAGAATAAGATGTCATCCTTGTCCTTAAGGGGGTCGTGAGCACCAGAACCAGGTTTTCTGAAGCCAAGCCCTTTCTTCTATTATGGAAAGATTTGCTTCTCACCAAGAACGGTCTTATAAGCCAATGGTATTAAGTGGAAGGTGTGTCCCGTGGCAGCAGAGTCCGTAGTTGACCCGTCCCTGTCCCCACTGCCTGCACAGAGCCTGCCAGTTGCACGCCTCAGGAATAATATGAGGAAGAGAGAGGCCACAGTATAACCCTCACGTTTTCCCTCTCCCAGGCCAGCGAGGAAGGAGGGTCTAGACCCGTGGCCTTACAGAGTCCAGCCTGCTCTGGGAAGAGCACCCAGTTGTCCCTGCCAGGCTGCTCAATCCCCGCTGACAATGGAGGAAAGAGAGGAGGATGACACCGAAGAAGCCTGGCTGCAGCTGCAGCCCGTGGAGCCCTTGCCTTCCCAGTGCTGCGGCAGCGGCTGCTCACCCTGCGTGTTCGACCTCTATCACCGAGACCTGGCGAGGTGGGAGGCCGCCCGCGCCAGCAAGGACAGGAGCCTGCTGCGTGGGGAGGAGGCACAGGTGAGGGAGGTTGCTCCTCAGACCACAGGCCCAGGGTTCCAGCGTCTGCCTGGCCTCTGCCCTGCACTGCATACCTGCTCCAGGAAACCTCCCCTGACTATACAACAGAGAGGAAAGAGAGTGTATGATCAAAGCAGACAGGTACAGGGTC